CATCTGATTTGCAGCTGCTCTGCCTCCAGAAGGCTCTTGGGGCAAATGAGATCAGTAAACCAGACTAGGAAATCAGCCCTACTTTGCCCAAGATAGAAAGGATCCTGGATTCCCCAGGGCCCTCTTGGAGGAAAAAGTGGAAAGGGGGAGAGATGAGTCAGCTGGTTGGCCTGGGAGAATCCTCTGGGGGTGAGTAAGGAAGTGAAAAAGTCCCCAAGGGTGGCCACAGTTGTTTTATGCTGTTCACTAGGAAATTTTACATTTGGGTGATGTAGACCTGAACTGTTCAATGCAGTAGTTCCAGGCCTGCCGGGGCTGCAGAGCCCCTGAGATGGGTGGCCCTGGATGACCTCTGCTGTGGTGTAAAAAACACAGGAGCGTGGGAGAAGGCAAAGAGGGCTCAGCCATGGTGGTTTTTTTTTTTTTCTTTTTCTTTGGTGGCACTGGGATTTGAACTCAGGGCCTCACACTTGCTAGATAGGCACTTTCACTGCTTGAGCCACTTCACCAGCCCCTCTCAGCCATGTTTGTATTGATTCTGTGACCACGTAATATTTTGGACCTACTGTGCTAAGTAAAATATATTATGAAATTTAATTTCACCTACTCCTTTTTATGTCTTTTTTTTTTGGTGGGAATGGGGTTTGAACTTAGGGCTTCCTCCTTGCAAAGCAGGCACTCTACTGCTTAAGCCATACCTCCAGTCCATTTTGCTCTGGTTATTTTGGAAATGGGGTCTCAAGAACTATTTGCCTTGGTACTGGCACAAAAACAGACATGAAGACCAGTGGAATAGAATAGAGGACCCAGATATGAAGCCACACAACTATAACCAACTTGTCTTTGACAAAGGCACTAAAAATATACGATGGAGAAATAGCAGCCTCTTCAACAAAAACTGCTGGGAAAACTGGTTAGCAGTCTGCAAAAAACTGAAAGTAGATCCATGTTTATCACTCTATACCAATATTAACTCAAAATGGATCAAAGATTTTAATATCAGACCCCAAACTCTAAAGTTGATACAGGAAAGAGTAGGAAATACTCTGGAGTTAGTAGGTATAGGCAAGAACTTTCTCAACGAAACCCCAGCAGCACAGCAACTAAGAGACACCATAGATAAATGGGACCTCATAAAACTAAAAAGCTTCTGCTTATCAAAAGAAATGGTCTCTAAACTGAAGAGAACACCCACAGAGTGGGAGAAAATATTTGCCAGCTACACATCAGACAAAGGACTGATAACTAGACTATACAGGGAACTTAAAAAACTAAATTCTCCCAAAATTAATGAACCAATAAAGAAAATGGGCAAGTGAACTAAACAGAACTTTCTCAAAAGAAGAAATTCAAATGGCCAAAAAACACATGAAAAAATGCTCACCATCTCTAGCAATAAAGGAAATGCAAATTAAAACCACACTAAGATTCCACCTCACCCCTGTTAGAATAGCCATCATTAGCAACACCACTAACAACAGGTGTTGGCGAGGATTCGGGGGAAAAAGGAACCCTCATACACTGTTGGTGGGAATGTAAACTAGTACAACCACTCTGGAAAAAAATTTGGAGGCTACTTAAAAAGCTAAACATTGATCTACCATATGATCCAGCAATACCACTCTTGGGGATATACCCAAAAACTGTGACACAGGTTACTCCAGAGGCACCTGCACACCCATGTTTATTGCAGCACTATTCACAATAGCCAAGTTATGGAAACAGCCAAGATGCCCCACCACTGACGAATGGATTAAGAAAATGTGGTATTTATATACAATGGAATTTTGTGCAGCCATGAAGAAGAATGAAATGTTATCATTTGCTGGTAAATGGATGAAATTGGAGAACATCATTTGGAGTGAGGTTAGCCTGGCCCAAAAGACCAAAAATCATATGTTCTCTGTCATATGTGGACATAAGATTAAGGGCAAACACAACAAGGGGACTGGACTTTGATCACATTATAAAGTGAGAGCACAGAAGGGAGGGGTGAGGATAGGTAAGACACCTAAAAAACTAGATAGCATTTGTTGCCCTCAACGCAGAGAAACTAAAGCAGATACTTTAAAGCAACTGAGGCCAATAGGAGAATGGGACCAGGAACTAGAGAAAAGGTTAGATCAAAAAGACTTAACCTAGAAGGTAACACACACGTACAGGAAATTAATTCGAGTCAACTCCCTGTATAGCTATCCTTATCTCAACCAGCAAAAACCCTTGGTCCTTCCTATTATTGCTTATATTCGCTCTTCAACAAAATTAGAGATAAGGACAAAATAGTTTCTGCCGGGCATCGAGGGGGTGGGGGGGTAAGGGAGGGGGTGGGGGCAGTGGGGAGAAATGACCCAAACATTGTATGCACATATGAATTAAAAAAAAAACTTTTCCCAAAAAAAACCAAAAGAACTATTTACTTGGGCTGGCCTCAAACCTCAGTCCTATTCTCAGCCTCCTGAACAGCTAGGATTATAGGCGTGAACCACCAGTGCCTGACATTTTTTATTCTTGGAGGTAACAGGGTTTTGAACTCAGGACCTCCTACTTGCTAAGCAAGTGTTCCTCCACTTGAGTCATATCCCTAGCCCTCCTCTCTTTTTTGCCTTTAATGTGGTTATAAAAATATAGCATTATACCATAGCTGCCGCGTTAGTATTGGACAGTTACGGCACACACAGTGGAGATTTTTGTGGGTTGCGATTCTGAACTAGGCTCTGGAGCTAGGAAGACACATTCAAGTCAGTGAGATGGTCCAGAAGGTTAATTAAATCAGCAAAGAGGAGAGCGAGGCCAGGGAGAGGCCGAGAAACCCAGGAACACAGAGAATTCTCAGGAAGAGGGGCTGAAGCCAAGTCCATCAAGATCCCCGGATGATATCTGTGTTGGAACAGGAGGAATACAAAGGAAGGATGAGGAAGGGCAAGAAGCACAGGAGAAAAAAAAGGAAGAAAAGATGAAGAGGGAAAGGAAAATAACAAAAGAGCTGGGCTCCGGTGGCTCACACCTGTAATCCCAACTCAGGAGGCAGAGATCAGGAGGATCGCGATTCAAAGCCAGTCCGGGCAAATAGCTCATGAGACCTATCTCAAAAAAACCCTTCATGAAAAAGGGCTGGTGGTGTGACTCAAGGTGAAGGGTCTGAGTTTAAGCCCAGTACTGCAAAAAAAAAGAGAGAGAGAGAGATAGAAAAGCTTCTACATGGACATGTTCAATGTGACACAGCCACCAACAAGATGTGTGTGTTGAGTGCTTGAAATAGAGAGTCTAAATTTCACTGTGCTAGTTAAGTGGAATCCTGGATTATTCCTGGGGCCCAAGACACTCACAGGGTCCTTATGAGAGGCAGAAATGTGGGATGTGGTGGTGCATGCCTGTCATCCCATCACTGGGAGACTGAGACAGAAAGATCACAAGTTTGAGGCCAGCCTAGGCTACAAATAGAGACCCTGTCTCAAAAAAAAAAAAAAGGGGGTAAGTCAGAGAAGGAGCTGTGTAGATGGGAGGAGAGGTAGGAGTGACTTGGAGCCATGAGCCAAGTAACATGAGAACCTTCTGGAAGCTAGAAAAGGCGAGAAATCAGATGAGGGGGAAAGATAAGAGTCAGGTCCTCTCATTGGACCCTAGAAGTAAGTTAAGGTTTTTTTTTTTTTTTCAGCACTGGGGTTTGACTCAGGGCCTTACACTTGCTAGGCAGCCCCGCCCTACTCACCTCAGCCCTTGAGCCCTCCCCGCCTTTTTTGTGAAGGGTTTTTTGAGATAGAGTCTCGTGAACTATTCGCTTGGGCTGGCTTAGAACCTTAATCCTCCTGATCTCTGCCTCCTGAGTACCTGGGATAACATACATGAGCCACTGGCACCAGGCTTCAATTTTTATTCTTGCACCAGGCCCTGCAAAGGTTTGTGGTGCACCTGACTGAGGAAATTCTGTGATCACAGGCGTGTGGTGTTAACAGAGCATGGTGGGGACAGGGTGGTGTAAAGGTGATCTCAGGTGGACAGTGAGCCCACGCAGCAGTCACTGTGGGAAAGATGAAGCAGTCAGAGGTGGCGATAAGAAAGTGCTGAAGTTCTCAGTATGAGAAACCAGAGCCTTGTCCACGTGAGTCCCAGAAATTGAGAGAGGGCTGATGCATAGAGAAGGAGAAAGGTGCAAGACAGAACTTGCTGAGTGGCAAAACAAACTCTACACAGGTAGGACTCCAGCAGACAGGGACCACATCCCCACTTACAGCCTGCTCCTGTACCCTTCTGTACAACAGAGGGTGGATGGCTAACACCATCAACTTCCCAGCTTCCCTTGCAGCTAGGACTGGCCATGTGATATGTGATAGGTTCTGAGAGATAGCCAGAAGTTCCTGAGAAGGGCATACTTTCCCCAATAAAAACCTTCCACTCATCAGGCCCAGGTACCTCACGCCTATAATCCTAGCTACTCAGGAGACAGAGATCAGGAGGA